TAGACTGCAAATGAAAAAAAAATCCCTATAGAAGATCCTGATGTTTACACTGGACTCACATAGACAAAGGAAATCTTGTCCACCAGGTCTCCTACCTTAACTTTAATTATGTTTTCCAGCCCTGTACTTAAGGGGTTCACAGCTAAAAGAATACAACCTAACAAAAAAAAGGTAATTGTCAAATTCACATAAGATAAGAACTGGACACCAATATTTAGCATCTGATGCATGCAAGATTTTTTTTAATAATAAGACTTTAAAATAAGATTTATATTTAAAAATAAGATACATATTTGCAAAGGTTCCAGTGGTGATTTGATTCTTTTGTATAATTACGTTTTCTAGCATGTTTTAACATTGCTTTTCAGGCAAACTACCCTCTGGAACATGTGATGCTATCAAAAAAGTTGAGAGATCATCATGAAGATATTCTGCAACTATGAGGATATAAGACCTTAAGCACATAAATGCTTACAGCTAGCCTTCAATTTAGCTACATATTCCATCCACTAAGTTTGTTGGGTTTTTTGGGTGGTGTTTTTTTTTTTTTTTTTTAAGCTAGACTCACAACATTAATTATACTGACTGAAACACCCCAGGAAAAGGTGAGTTCAGTTCACGGGATGTGAACATGCTATCACCACTATCACAGAACTACTTATTTAGCAAAATCATTAGGTTTATTCTTTACAGAGAGGAAATAAGAACAGTGAAAACATGCTCAAAGGGATGATTTCAGAAAAGGTTTGAAATGCAGTTTTTGTCTGTCAACTTCTGCACTCCCTTATCCTTACAACACCAATCTAAGAAGTCTTGTTAGTTAAAAACAATCCAACACACACACCCCCCACTTGATTTATGACACCTGGAAGCATCAGCTTTCAGAGCTTGATAGTGGTGTCCACATTTCCTAAAGCTGTCACTCCTGGCTGTGAGAGCACAAGCTAGACAAAAATAGCATACACTGGAAACATGGCGGCTTGCTGCAAATGCTGCTTTCAACCAATTGTGAAAATAAAAAATAATCGTTTTATTTGTAAAGAATACTTATTGTATGCATGAAACCTTTAACATAAAAAGGCCATTGAGAATTAGTAACACATTAGATCACCCAGATGAAGACTAAAACGTATCTGAAAGATGAATGGAAGTCTTTTCTCTGGTTTTCCACCAGCAAGTATATCTAGGGCCTTACAAGAGGCTAGAAAGTCTTCATATAAGCACTACTTCGTGTTTAAATCTTGGCTTAATCTCGGATCCAGGCAAGGTCATGCGGTAAGTCAGGGTAAGATACCTGCTCTCCTTCTGACTGAATTATGACTCCCTTCATCTATAAAGTTAGGGCAGGAAGACGCCTCCGATCTGATATACCGGTACGGACGACCTCACTATAAAAGCACGCAGTATTCCTCCCTCAATCTACAGCTGCAACTAACTATTGGAACGGACTATGTCAGCTACACGCCAGGCTTTGGGTCGTCTCATTCCTAACTCCCACCACCCCCCCTTAAAAAAAAAAAAAAAAAAAAGGAAAAAAAACCAAACAAACAAAAAAAAACAACAAAACAACAACAACAAAAAAACAGTGAATGAAAAAGCTCCAGTCTGTAAAGGCGAGAACAAAGCTCGCAGCTTCGCAACTCCACTCTCACAATGAAGGCCGGTGAACAGCCTATTTCCACCCCCCCCACCCAACCCCCCCGCCCCGCAAATAACGCTCCCTTCCAAGTATCCGCTCGCCGAGCCGCGCACCACCGCGCCCCGCTCCCGCCTCGGCAATGCCGAGGAGGTTCCACCCGCCCGAGGGCCCCGCTCCGGAGCCCCCACGACGGGGGGGGGGGGGGGGGGGGGGGCTGCGAAACCGTGGGGTCGGACGGGAGGGCGCTCGCCACAAAGCGCCGCCGTGCCCGGGCGGCACCGCGGGAAGGCCGGGGGGGGGGGGGGGAACCAGCAGCCCCCCCAAACCGCGGCCTACCGGGGAGCGCCTCAGGCCAGGCCCGGCGTGCGGCTCGCAGCCGTCCCCTAGAGGACACGACCCCGCCGGTGGCAGCGGCTCCCGCCCGCTCCCCCCGCAGCCGCGGGCCCTCCCCCTCACCTGCGGGCGGAGCGGGACGGGAGCGGGAGGCGTCGCTTCTCCACAGGCCTGCCCGGCGGACGAGAAACACCTCACGCAACGGCGTGCTCTGCCGCCGGCTAGATATATCCGGCGCGCAGCCTACCCCGACGGCAGGCGGATCAACCAATCACATGACGGCGGTCGCGTTCACTCGGATGCTAACTGGCTCACAGGGGGGAAAGAGGCGGGCGGAGACCCGAGAGGCATCTCAGTCTACCAATCACGCAGCCTGGCTCCGCGGGGCGGTAAGAGTGACCGCCACCTAGCAGAACCAATCGGCGGCGGCGGTCGCGCTGCGGGGGTGGGACGAGACCCGATAGATTTCCCCCTTAGCCAATAGGACGACGCTAGCCGCGCTACCAGGCACGCAGGCCGGGGCAGGCCTGACGCCATAGTATGGTTGAGCCGCAGAGCAGCGCCCTTGAGAAGTTGCTGGTAAACCCCGTTATAGATCGGGGCGGTCCCTTCTGTGCGGCACCAGCGCAACGGCCAATGACAGCGCGTGGCGCGCCCTGACGGACAGGCGACCTCCGGCGTTCTTAAAGAGACAGGCAGACCGCCACGAGGGGCGGTGTTCGCGCCCAGCACCACCCCCTGCTGGGGGGAGGGGGACGGCGCCCAAGATGGCGCCGAAGTAGAAAGAGAAAGAGGAGGAGGAATGAGGAAGGAGGAAAAAAGGGAGGCGATGGCGCTGTGCGGCGGGGCCCTGGCGCAGCCCCAAAACCGTGAGCAGCCCGTGGCCTCGCCCCCGCCGTGGCTGCACCTCCCCCGGTCTGAGGCGCCCACGGTCCCAGCACAGCTGACCCACTCACCTGAGAGGAGTCACCAGTGGGGGTGGGATAAAAAGGGGTCCCGGAGCAGCACTGCAGCCGAGGCCACCTCCACCAGCCGCAGGCCTAGCCACTCACACAAGGCAGAAGGCGGCGGTCGCCATCTCCAAGCTGCTTTTCCTTCACAACTGGGCAAAGCAGACGGATGGATCATCTGCCCCAGAGGGAAAGTCAAGCCAAGCGAGGTCATTTTCTAACCCAGCCGGCAAGGCCTGAGTAGTCCATCAAAGGAGGAGGAAGGCCTCAAAAGTTCACAGATCCTTCCTCCCCAGCAGGTGCTGGTCCAGGGAGCCGGAGGGGAGAAGGAGGGTGAGGAAGCAGTCAGCCTGAGCCAGCCAGCTCCCACACAGCCATATCTTTCCATTTGTGTCACATCCCATCCCAAACGTACCTATGACATGAAGCAGTCAAGAGATACATTTCACTGTATAAAAGTGACTTCTTTCCCACCACCTAAACGCTGCCTAAAACCCTCCCTGCTATGCCTTGCAGCTAGAGATACAGTCAGTGGACTGGCATGGGGCCATGCTCAGCATTAATATCCTTCCCCACACACACCCTGGCTATTTATAGACTAAGCACATTGCAATCTACCAGTTCATAAATCAGAAGCACAGTCTTTTACCAACTTTAATACGAGAGCAGTGACCCAGCACAACAGCCATCCAAAATAAATTCTGTCAGGGGGGATCCTTGACATCTCCCCCCAGAGCAATAGAGGGACAGGTAATTCCTCTTTTATAAGAAGGTCGGTATAACAACAGGGTCCTATGCACATTAAAATAAATGCCCTCATTCTCCCCGTGTAACAGAAGCTTGGTAAGAAAGACATTCACATCAGCTCGGTGTGTTCAGCATCAACTCAGGGTGAGGGGAAGGGTTAGCCAAGGCCAGCCAACACCCCAGGACACAGCTCCAGCTGATGTGGTAGCAAATAATCAGAAACACCCCCATTATTTTTCCTGCTACGGCTGCTTAACAGGAAGACACCAAAGCCCAGCATGCAGCCAGGAAGTGTCGCCCCTCATGCAGCTCTGCCAGCTCTTCTCAGTGCTGACGTACTGCACTCTCCTTTCCTGGTTACCCACAGCCTGCCAAAGTGCCCCAGCTGCTCCCAGCCCCCTCCACAGCCTCCTCCACCTAGGTTTTTAAGAAACAGCCAGGGGGAAAACAAACAAACAAAACCCAAACAACGAACGGCCACACAGCAGACACACAAACATCTTCAGGGACCAGCATCCTTTCTCTCAACCTACTCTGAAGCAGAGACAGCTCCCAAACTTCCCTCATCCAATAACCCAGTCTACCAGAGCTCTCTTAAACCAATAAATCTCAAAACCTCAAAAGGCAGAGAGAAACAAGCTTTCTGAGGCAGCCCAGCCAACCCTCATGCCTCCTGCCCAGTCTTTACAACTCTTCCCACCTTCCTCCCGCAGCCGCTTTTGTCTCCGTGGGGATCCCTGGCCTGTAAAGCAGGTGGGCAGAGCACCAGGCAGGGTGCTGACACCTCATTTGGGATCCACACCCAGAAAAAACTTTCTCCACCATTTTCTCCTTAACCCTTTCTGGCAGCTCATGCCTTCTGATGGCCTCAGCCTTACGCCCACCTTGGGCTTTATCCTAGCCTGCACAGCACCATCGGTTCGGCCACAGCCCCCGTGCATCTCCTCAAGAGCAGTGGCAGTATCAAAAAAATTAGAAGAGGAACATAACCATGGGGCTGCATTTCAGCAACAAATATTCCTAAGAATTAAACCACCATCCCCAAAAGGCTACTAGAAGCAATCTGGTCAGTGTTAAGGACAGGCCAAAGCGTGTCTGAACGCCTGCATCCCGCAGCCTAACCCAGCTCGTGTCAGCGCAAACCAAAGCCACCAGCCCCCAGCTCCCGGTGGGCTGAAACGCGCTCGGGGCAGCTGCCTCCGACCTCGCCACCCTCCCGGGGCTGCTCCGCAGTCGATTCCCAGTCCCCCGCCCACGGGTGACTTTGCAAAACCTCCAGAAACCCCGACTTGGGCGGAAGCTGCGGGGTTAGAGATGATGGCGGCCGGCACGGTTCCACCCGTGCGAGGTTACCGAGCCGGGCCAATGTGCTGCCCGCCCCGTCGTTTCCCGCGGTGCTCGGGAGGGGACGAGCCCGGCTCCCGGCGGGGCCGGGGCTGCGCGGGACCGGCCTCGGCCCTCGGGAGCCCGGCGCGGCCCGCCCCTTCCTCCGCGCCGCGCTGAGAGCCGGGAGCCGCCACCGCGCTCCGCCATGCCGGTGGGTGCCGGGCCCGGGGGGGGGGCGGCCCATCGCCGCGGGCCGGGGGGGCCTCTGTGGGGCCGGGGGGGTCTCTGTGGGGCCGGGGGTGGCGGAGACAGTGGAGCAGGGCGGGCGCTGCCCGGTACCGGGAGGAGCACAACCCTCCCCCCCCCCGAGACATCCAGCCACCGGGGCTTGGGTTCTCTGCACTGGGACCCCCCCTGCCCCGTCCCCATCCGTCTTTCTCGCACACCGGCCCCCAGAGCACGCAGGGCATTTGTAAAATAAAACCGAGAAAGTGCTAATTACACTGGAAAAGCCTAATGGGAACGACCGTTCCTGAAATCCTTTCTCGGGTGAATGGTGCCCGTGAGGGTTTTAGCCTCTTAGTTGCGGGGGGGGGGGGGGGGGGGGGGGGAGGGGGGGGGGGGCAAAGGGTGGGTTTGAATAGAAAGAAGAATGGGTTGCAAGAAAAAAATAAAAAAACAGCTTTACTCTTATTTTTTAAGGAAAGTAAAAAGCGTGTGCGAGAAAAGGAAATTAGGATCCGTCTGGTGCGAGGGGTTGAATGTGATGATTAGTATTACAGGCAAGCACATTTATGTTGACCCAGTATCTCTCACAGCTAGTGAAGGTAACACTGGGGTCTGGGTGAAGGGATGAAAAAACAGCACTAACATTCCTTAAATTTCAGGTTTGTTGATACTTTTAGGAGTTTATTATGTTGGGGACCAGAGGCCTTGTAGACACAAGAAGAATAGGATGGGCAAGCGCCAAAAACCTTGCAGACGTTAAGTCAGGACAGTGGGTAGCCGGAGGCAGGTGACTTGCTTCTCCTGGGCTCCCCAGGGCAAATGGAGGGAGTCCAGCAGAGGCCCACTGAGATGGCAACCTGCACTGACCCCGAAGGTGGCCCTGCTCTGAGTGGGGGCAAGACAGACTCCAGAGACCCCCAGGGTTATGCTGTGAGGGACAGCACAAAGACGCCATAGGGAGGACTACCAAGAGCTCTCAATTTTGCTCAGGATCCCTTGGTGGCATGTGTGGACCTTTTGGTTGGGGAGGATTTGAGCCCACCTCCCCAAGGAAAAAGGCAAGTGTGGAGGAGGAGTGCTCACAGTATGTTGATGGCTGCGGCCTCCCTGACCCCTCATCTGCCTCCTTTCAGAAACACGAGTTCTTTGTGGACATGACCTGCGAAGGCTGCTCCAATGCGGTCACCCGTGTCCTGCACAGGCTGGGAGGTGAGTCAGTGCTGGGTGTGTGACAGCCAGCTCACCAGAGCCACGCCAGCTCCGGGGCACCCTGTCAGTGCCCTGGGATCCTCCATTTTGCAAGTGTGGGTAAAAGCTGAAAGTGTCTAGTTGGAAACCTCTTCTCCCTGCTCTGGGCCTGCTGCTTAGTCAGTAACAAGTTGCTGATTGTTCATGACATGGAGAAATGTCAAGGGAGAGAGGAGCTGCTGTGGCTGCAGGTGGCTCTGAATCACCAGGGCCTCATCCTGAACTCTCTGGGAACCACACTGGTAGACCCCTGTTCAGGCTGCCAGAAGGAAGTGATGTCCTGCCAGGCTCTGTTCCCAAGGAGGCCCAGGGTATCTGTGGTGCTTCCTTAGATGTGTCATCGGTATCCATGTGCAGAGCCGTCACAGTGAAGAGCTGCTGAGCAGAGCGTTTGGTGGTTGCCTGCACAGCCTGTTTCTAATACCACCTGGAAAATCATAACCCAAGCCTCCTTTGTGCTGGGGTTACCAAGAGAGAAGGATCTGACCCGCACTCACCAGTTGTGAGGACCTGTCATCCTGCTCCCCTGTCCTCACCAAGTGAAAACAGCTTTCAGTCACCAAGGAGAAGGCCTTGCAACTTCTTCCAGACCCCATTACCAGGCTGTAGCAACCCCACTTCCTCTGTGTGTGATTGTCAGCACCTCCACCACTCTTCAACATGCTGGCCAATATCACCCTTGTGTTAATGTGGCTGTGCTCTCAAAGCTGATACTTACCTACAAGTTTTGTGAAAATACGTGGTTGGATAGAGACTTCATGTCCAGTTCCTTTCACTGGGCTGAGAGTGGCGCACCCTTATGAGCCACTGGGAGATCCACATGGGAAGGTGTCTTTTCTCTCCCTCCTATTTACAGCTGTTAGCTGGTACCGCCACTGAGGAAACCTGTCCTGACCCCTACATTAACTCCCTTGTTAGTGCCTATCCACAGCACAGGCTCAGCTGCTTGGAGATTATAGTGATTGGTTTTAACTCAGCTCATTCCGGTTATTGCATGAGTGACTGTGTTGATCCAAGGTGGGGTGAGCAGATTAAAGCAGTTGAGAATCTGTGGTGCCTGATGCAGATCTATACATCTGGCTTCCTTCGCACCATTGGTGGCAGGACACCAGTTTAGTTTTGCTGGCTGGTGGTGGTATCAGGGGTTGCTGGCAGGAAGCACACGTGCATTTGACTGATGGCCTTGGGAGCACAAATGTGTGAAGGTGAGCTTTCCCTGTGCTCACACTGCTTGGCTGCTTCTAGCTGTGCAAATTTTTTTTCCTTTCCTTGTAGGTGTCCAGTTTGATATTGACCTGCCCAACAAGAAAGTATGCATCGACTCTGAGCACAATGTTGACACCCTACTGGAAACCCTAAGGAAGACTGGAAAGAATGCTTCCTACCTTGGGGAGAAGTCAGCTCAGTAGCCTTGCCTGGTGTGAGGAAGCTAGGTATATACCAGGTGTATGAAATGCTGAAGAGAGAGATCTGAGCTTTTTCCAGCTCTTCCAGTAAAACAGGCAGCTTCCTGGGAAGCACAAAGTGGGGAAGACCTGTAGGTCCAGCTTCAGCAAGCCCCTCATATTGGAAAAGGAGCAGGTCTACATACAGCCAGCACCATTTCTATGTGGGAGCCCTTAGCTATTCTGGAAAGCCCATATGATCCCAACCGTGGTTGTAGTCGAGAGTTAGAACACAGCCTCTGTGCCATTCCCAGGCAAATCTAGAGCTTACCAGAGCATATCATGCACAAAAACAAATCCCAAAGACATTCACCAGCTGATCAGAGAGAGTGGTGGCCCCCAACAGTAGCAGGAGGGCCATGGGACACAGACCCCAGTGGGTATGTGATGCGGGGGCTTTTAGCACAAGGACCTCCAGCATCTGATTCTGTTGATATCGCTGTTAATACTCCACTAAACTTGATGGAAAAAGAGCAGCACCCTGGTACCCTCATGGATGTGAAATGTTGGGTTTTCAAGTGCACACAGCCCCTGCACATCTGTCCCAAAGACAACCCGATTGTCACAGCCTGTTGATTCTCCTAGAGTCCCAGCACTATGAGGTCATGTACAAACCTCTTTCCTGCCTGTGAAGTGTTTTTGCAGACAGGGTTCAATTTCAGTGGAAAAGAATGAAGGAGGAGAGGGCTGCCCACTCACTGCACATAATGTTCTTTAGTGTCCAAGATTATTATTATATTGCATCTCTCTAAGAGCTTGTTTCTGTCAGTGGAGCTTTCTAATCCAATGACTGTTTTAAAATGGTCTGGTTTGATCATCACAAATACCCAGCACAGATGCACTGAAACCAGTTCATGCTGATTTAATTCCCAGTCAGTAAATTAAATCAGGGATTTACACCAGCAGGAATTAAATTGATACAAGAAATAATTGAGCTGATACTGATGTGTGTATGCAATAAATCTGCATTGTTTAATAGACTGACTTAACATTTAAAATCTGCAATTTGTATCATTTGAGCAAGCTCTAAATACTTCTTAGAAATTGTTTAAAGTCATAGCTATAATCAAAAACATTGCTATTTAAAACAGAGACAGTAACATGCTCTGAACTGCTTAATGCCTCAGATAGTTTTCAGCTCGTAATATTTACTGCAAGAGCTGTTTTCAACTTGCAGGGACTTGTGGACTATGTCTGAAATGCCTGCAAAAGTTAACCATTACATCAAAGTCAGTCTCAAATAATGTGGATGTGTCCCTTTTTTCCCTGGCCCTGCGTGCTCACCACTTTCCTTATATTACATCTAGGCAGCTAGGGAGTCAGGTCAGCTGGCCAACCTGGCAGAACATTTCTATTGATGCTTTTGTTTTTCTGTTGGATTTAAACTGGAGCTATTTGACTTACCTAAGGATCGTAAGATCTGAAACAAAGACAACAGGTGGCTGGACTGCCCATGCTAGTAGTTTACTGCACTTCAGCTGTCATGGGAAAATCCACTAAATTTTAGTTTTACACCACATTTCCCTTCATAGGAAATATTTTTAGGGGTTCATCTATAAAAGGAAGGAGGGAAGTTGCAAATCACTGGCAGAGCTCAGGTGGATGGCTTTCCTTTGGCTCGTGACCGGCAGAGGGCATCTTTGTATAACATTACTTCCTCTGTGCTTTGGTATTTTAAACGTTTATTTATTTATTTATCTATCTATCCATTTATTTATTTATTTTGCAGGAATTCAAACATGACTTCAGCAAAAAGATGGCTTAACTGTTTGCATATCTTCCAACTTGCTCTGTCGTTTGACCTTTACTACCCTGCCAGTTGCCAGAAAGCAGAGGGCTGGCAGGAGGAGACAGCTGCATCTTGGGGTTTAAAAGTGGAGAAATCTAGAAGAGGAGGTTATGTGCTGTTTCTAGTCCCACAGTAAATCGAGGCTATGCTTCTATCTTTCAGTACATGTCTATGTGTCTTGTGTGTCTTTGTACTGCTTTAAGTGGTTTTCTGTAAAAGAGATGGCTCTTAGGGATGGGAAACTACCCATTACATGCAAGACGGGTCTCCCAGGAAATTGCACCTATCTTTAGAAGCTGACTGCAATCTCTGCCTGAGGGACATGTCTCAGGAGAACTCTGCTTGAATGTCACTTAGATTCAGGGAATCTCTGCCTTGGCAGATGTCTCTTGCCATCACAGAACAGATAAACTTTCCATTTGGGATGCAAGTGCTGGGGAGAAGGGACTCTTGCAGCCTCTGTAAGTCAATGTTAATCAAGTGTCCTTTTGAGCTAAATGGGGCCAGGAGGCAGAAGTCCCTGGACCCCAGAATTGTGATTGAGCTCACAGGCCAGCCAAATTGCAAGTGGGAGCAGGGAATATGGACTCAGCCTAGGTTTAGTACAGTGCTTTTTAGGGCACTGCATGGCCATATAAGTGTGAGAAATCATTCTGGATCCTGGGCCCTGCTCTGGACACCTGGATCAGTCCCTTCCCCTACCAAGTGTTCCTCTTGCCCCCTACCTTGCCCACCTACAAAATTTCAACCAAATAGGTACTTGCATCATGAGGCCCTGATGCTAGGCAGGATGCCCGGGTGCTGCACGCACCCACAGACACAGTAGGAGAACGCCTGTGCTGGTGAGAAATGCAGAAGGGATGGAGGAAAGAGGAGGGTGTGGGGATTTCTCTGAGGCCTCATTTCTCAGCCCAGTGACTAGCGTTATGGGCTGTACTGTTGCTTTCCCCAGCCCCCCTCCGTTTAATTCACGTTTTCAGCCCAGTGAAAGGATTGCATGTGTCCGTGCCAGTCTGTTGTCTTGTTTCACCTGGGGGATGTCTCCCATGCCTACCAGTCACATGTGATTTGTTCTACAGAAAGGAAATACAGCTAAAGTTTGAAGGAAAAGGTTACTATATATTTAAGAGATTTTTCACACTTGTACATTAAGATTACTTTTGACATAGTTGCAATTTATTCTTTCCTAGAGTGGTTTAGTACTCCAAAGTCCTTCCTTACCATTGATCTAAAGCACAATTAATTGCTGTAGATGCACTTGCAGGGACTGGAGACACTTCAAGGAAAGTGTTGCAGACACTTTTTATTACTTTTTAATTGTAAGGGAAGCTAAAGGATAGAAGTGTAGCGTTACTGCATTATTTTGTTGCATTAAAAAGCGTTTCCAGAGCCAACGCCCAGAACCACAACCTATTTCTGCTTTGTGCCCATGCACTCACATGCACGACATAACACCTCCAGGGTCCTGGGTGAATCCCTTTCCCTAGGCCAGTCTCCCCACACACACCTTGCTTGTCTGAGCTGGGGTTTGCCAATGTTAGTTATTATTTACTGCTTTCAGCTTCCTCCCAGGCACGGTCAGTGCCTCCACCCGCAGCTGGTTGCCCAGGGTCTCAGCTCTGGTGGAATGGGCCGGCGGGGCTGTGTGCTGTCTGTTTGGTGTGGAGCTGGTAGGCAGGCGGTGGCACGGCTGGCCTTGGCGCCAAGAGTCCTTGTGGCACTTGCTCTCTGCCAGACTGGTGGGTGGGACTGGCAGCGTTGTGCCTGCAGAGGATAGCTCCCAGTCTGTCTTGCTGTAAACCAGGCTGCTCGTCCTTGGTGTCTGGGCTGCAGCTTACGCTCTCCACACTGCCCCACTGCTCTGCTCCCAGCTCCCTGCTCTGCTGAACTGGCTGTTTTGATTAAAGCCTGCTTATCTCTGAGCCAGACAAGGAAAGGTTTATACCTACAGCCAGGCAGGAGATTCGTGCAGATACGTGACGTTTCAGCACCCATCTGCAGGGCTGCAGTCTCCCAGGACTCCCCTCCGCCATCCCGCTTGGGTAGAGGGGCTGGACGCTGCTTTAAACTTGTGCCTGTTGCAAAAATGACATTGCAGCCTTGGGTGGAAACTTGCTGCAGTGACAAACTGTGGTCACCCTGAGCTGCTGCAGAGGAGCAACTCTTCACAGAGCCTATCGGGAGCTGGTCTCCTTCCACTGGAGCAGCGATGTCCATGCTGGGGACTCTTTCCCCTCCTGGTCCCTGCCCTGGCCTTTAAGAAATGCCTCTAAGTGTCCCTCGCATCAAGCAATTGTGCCAGGCTGATATACTCTACCTGGCCATTAGTGTCATTTACAGCCCCTATAATTTCCCTGTGTGCCCAGCATGGCCGGGGCTGCCCACAGCTGCTTCCCTGCAGTGTCCCTGCCGCTTGCCTTCCAACGGAGACTCTGTGTGTGCAGTGTTTGTGGGCTTTCATACCTGATGGATCGTGGCGTTTGCTGAACTGCTTCCCACCCCCTGTTCCAGAGCAGAGGGGACAGAGGGGTGACAAGTCTGTGTGGGCCACCTCTCTTTGGTGCCATACCCTGAGGATGATGATGAGAGTGAGCAGCTGGGAAGGCACCAAGGGCTCCTGTGAGTCCTACGTCAGCCTTCCTTCAGTGGTCCCAGTGTTCAGACCCTCCCATTGCATCTCTCTTACTTTCCCCCAGCCCTGTGGAGAAAGGAGCTCTACAGTTTCTTCTCCAGCCAAGGGGAGGGAACCGCTGTGATGGTCACTAACCCCAGCACTCCAGCCACATTGAGCGAATATACCAAAGAACCAGGACAACTCCTATTAGAGCAGGGCTGGAGGATGGTGCCCAAACTGCTGCTTGTTTTCTCCACCAAAAGCCCAGGAGGACAGCATCTCATGTGCTCCCCCATCAACCTTGCATGCTTATCAGGGGAACAGCACGTTTCAACCAGACCAGACAATCTGCAGAACGCTCTCTTTCTGCCTGTTTTCCTTTCCTCCGGATAAGATAAGGTGTTTAGGAAGACAGCCTGCTGGTCCTGCCTGCAGGACAGCGAGCGCAGGAGGCTCTGCACCACCGCTCCTGGAGCAGTGGCTCTGCAGGAGCACAGGGTGCCTCCCAAAAGGCCACCTCTCCCACGAACACAAAGCCAGAGCTGAGTAATGACACCCTGTGATAGTCCCTACTTTGGTGTGTGGGCTGAATTTGGGCTGATTACAGCTGAGCTGGGGAAGTTAAGGAAGGATGGTCAAGTCTGAACAGAGCAGCAGACCTGCAGGGTGGCTGTCTGAGAGGCTTATGGAAAAGCTTTGGGAGAAAAACCAACTCCATAGAGTCTAAAAGGATAAGACAATCAGTACCTAAGCAGAATCTCTTTGTTCCACCGCTGCCCAACTTCGAGTTCTTCAAAATCTTCATTCATTAGGTTGGTCTGATATTGGCCCCCAGGTTGCATGTCATGGAGAGGGACCCCAACAACCCTGCGCATGTTATGTGGTCACAGTAATTTCCACAGGAAACAATATACCAGACACTGAAGCTGCAAGGCCGTTTTCAGACAAGGAAATGCTCAGTTTGCAATGCAAACAGGAAAGGGTGGCACTTGGAACAGGAGCTTTTCTGTAGCACAGACACCCTGGCTCTGCAGGACATCCCAGTGACCTGCTGGGAGAGGGACGTGTCAGCCCTGCCAGCTGCAGGACGAGCAGCCGGTGAGGTGCGATTCGGTGCATTCCCACCCATGAAGATGACCTCCCAGCAGCAGGAGTTCACTTCTGATTTCCTCATGAGATTCTCAGCCCAGCTCCAGCTGAACTGTGAGCATCCACAGACTGCCTCTACTGTGGCACCAGTAAGATCTGGGCAAGATCTGGAGAGATGGACTTTAAAAGCTCTTTTGTTTTCCCTGCCTCAAAATTATCTTTGTCTTTCCCCGCCATGGTGTTTCCAACAGAAGGCATTTGTTTTTCTCACCCACCTCATTGCACTTGCAGAGTTGCCCATATTTTAGTGCTGCTGTGCTTCTGGGTGTCATTTTTCACTCAGTGTTACATTCCCTTGCTTTTTAAACCAAAATCCTATTTCAGTGGAAAAGTCTACAGTCTCTAAAACCCAGTCCTTTATCCACAAAAGAAAAAGCTGCCTTGGTTATCCCAGAGCTGCCTTAAGCACCACTGGCTTTTTGGCGCTTTCTAATTACCAGATGACAGGCAGGGGATGATTTTAGCCAAAGGAGCAGTTGTACTCAGTTGAACCACCCAGTAAATGAGAGAATTTCCAAAATAGCACCGCAGGCTGCAGAAAGCAGACAAAGGATGGGAGATCCCCCTCGGTGCCTGCAAATGGTGATCCCTGATGGCTTGGAGAGGTAAATTGCTGTGAAATTTCAGGGTGGGAAAGAAGGGTTCAGTTTGCAACAATCTTAGGAATTCCGCAGGCATGTCGTGTCTGGATGTTAAGATTGTTACACAGGGGATCCATTACCAAAAGATGGGGATTTTCTAGTCTTATGCTGCTGATAAATGTTTGCTGTAAGAAACAGCCCGCCTTGGGCTTCCACCTTCACTCACCTGCCTGCCCCCAGCCCAGGCATGGCAATAACAGAGCTGGGAGCTGAATGAGCACTATGACTGGTGTTTGACTTGAAGGCAGGATCATACCCCCATGCTTTTGGGGTCAGCATCTGCAACATCGAGCCGTGCAGCTGGATCTGGAGGTCTCTGTTGCACTGTGCTGGGTGTCCATAGTCACGAGCATCAGGTGGTCGTACATCTCTGCTGATGGAAACCAAGTGTGATGAAATAGCCAGGTATCGTGGTCTCCTGGAGGGACTCAAGATCCCAAAATGGCCAGAAAAAGCTTGGCGGTCTCTCTGAACTAAATGCGCTGGTCTTTCATCTTTTCAATAACATCTACAAGACCAACTCTTCCTCAGTGTAAGGTGTAAGGCCACATCCCGGCTGAGGCCACTCTACCATGAGTGATGTGCTGAGCTGTCCTGATGCATATAGAGTGATGCCAAAGGCCTTTGCTGGTTCCCACTCCCCTGAAGATACATGCAAGTTCCCTGCGTGACCATCACAGGTAGCTTTCCATGTTGCAACTTTCAAAACAGCAAAACACGTGGGGGCCTGCCAGACTCCCCCATCCAGGACTGTGGCAGTAT